TTTCAAACATTTCTTCATGTTCCTGAAAAACAATAAGGCACTAGAATTATAAGTATAACTTATTAAATGAAATCATAATATTCAGTTGAATAATAAGTTATGAAGTAACATACGACATATCATATCAGAATAGTAGAATATCAATTATGAACCATAAGCATGTCATATAAGAATATCTAGAATTACAGAAAATGGCAACATACTTTAATCGTTCTACTACTATAAACAATGTACTTTACTTCTTACTCATTATAGCAACATACTTTCATTTCCAAACCAATATAAGCAATATGTAACTTGAACCTTGTAATGTGATAATAAGTGTTAGATTACATCTTGATATTATCAGTTAAAAATGAGTTCTCCATATGAGGTTTAGCAAGTTTAATTAGATACTCACATTAAGCCTACGACTGCTAAATGACAACGGAACAAAGGATTTGACAGTTTCTTAGAATATTTGGAATAAATAATTTAAAACAAATTTATATCCTTAGAATATTGAGAATAATTAACCTAATTATAGAGATAATTGGTTTCAAGGTATGTTATTTACATCTTCCGTCGATTAGCCATGTAGACATCAATTTTCAGAAAATTCATCATCAATTTCTCCATTACAGACATCTATTTTCTATATTTCATATCACAACATCGGTTTCCAACAATTCATCATCACATAATTTTGCTTTTACTAAAGGATTATCAAGAAGGGTTGATTTTCAGCAACACATTATTAAAATGGGAATGAATAGGATACTAACTCTAATATACTAAATCAGAAAGGCTAGAATATTCTACTAAAAGCTAATATATAAAAAATAATTCCTAGAATATTTTACTACACAAATCAAAATGACTAGAATAATATGATATATAAAATTAGAATGACTAAAATATTGTACTAAACATCAATGTTCTAAAATTCATCATCAGTTTCTCTATTACAGACATCGATAAGGAATTTCGATATTTCAACATTAATTTTCAAGAATTCATCTTCAATTTGTCTACCACTGAAGGATTATCATTAAGGATTGATTATCTATAGATTCTATATAATTTCATATCAGAACATCGATTTTTAGCAATTCATAATCAAATAATTTTGCTATTACTGAAGGATTATAAGCAATGTTCAATTTTCAACAATTTAATAATTTGTCATAAACTTTGTTGTTACATAAGATTATCAACTCATCGGCAATCGGTTTTCAGCAATTAATGATAAAAATGGGAATGAGCATGATACTAAACAGAATGGCTAGAATATTACATAAGGAATTTCTAGATTTCAACATTTATTTTCTGCAATTCATCATCAATTCTGAATTAGAATATTACACCATATACTAGAATATCACACCTTATAATATAATTTCATAATATTACGCATTAATATCATAATATTATACATAATTTCGTAATATTATACATTAAAATTAGAAAAAAAATTATTTGGATTTCCTATAAATCATTCTAGATATTCGCGTTACATTATAAGTTTTAAATTTAGAATATTACATATATTATTAATATCTTATATAATATAAGTTTATTTTACACAGTAGAACCTAATTTTAAAATATTACACTTTAATATCAGATCACACACAATTTCATAATATTAAATATTAACAATACAATATTAAATGTTGAACATCTAGAATAACTAGAATTATAACACATCAATGAGTGTTAAAAAAAGCCTATATTTAGTAAGGCATTATTCTATTAGAATATTTTACATATAACTTAGATTATCGTAGACCATTATGCATATTATTCTAAATGAATAGACAAAGTACAAAATTATTCAATTAGAATATTCTACATATACACATTAATTATGTCTTATTAACAGTACATATAAATTTAAATGAAATCATAATATTCAGAATAATCAACTTAAAACAATTCACCTTTCGCAAATCAGAGTATTCTAATTATAATATTATACTTCTATTAATATTAGTACTCAACCTATAACATTATTCTACAAGAATATTCTATATGTACATTCAGCATGCATATCGCTCTTTTAGAATATTCTACTTCTATACATGTTTGTATCCAAGCTATAACATTATTCTTTATGAATATAACTTATTAAAAGATATCATAATAATTAGAATAATTAAATTAAAAAATAAATCATAATAAGTATAATATCAAGTAATTAAATGAAACCAGAATATTTATAATAATCAACTTAAAACAAATTATCTTTTACAAATTTGAATATTCTAATTGTAATATTACAGTTCTATACATTTTACCAGTCAAACTATAACATTATTTTGTAAAAATATTCTATATGTACATATTTTATTCTTTTAGAATATTCTAATTTTATATATGTTAACAATTAGCCTATAATATTATTATGTAAGAACAATCTATATGTATAGAAAACATGTATATTATTTGTTTTAGAATAATATACATGTAGAATAGAACTAATCATATTTCCAACCATTCTATTAAGCAGTCATCATATTACCAAACATATAATTAAGCAGTCATCATATAATCAACCATACCAACTGATTTACAAAAGATTAAGCAATCATTAATATCTAATTTATTCAAAAAAACATAAAAAAAATGTTTTCATGTTAGATAACCATATTTCCAAACATTCAAACTTGCAACAATTCTACTTTTCACTCCTTTCCAGTGCATCCCTTACTTCAATTCTTTATTTCATCAACCTACATCAACAAAATCAAAATTACTCATTTTGGTCGCCATCTTCAGCTTTCAACCCTTTCCGATGTTCCTTGTTTCTGAGTTTCTTTAAATCCAACCCACTCTTTTTCATTTTCTAGATTACTGGTACTTGAAAACATAGTACCTAAAAATAATTCCAATAATTTTAAACATCATACACTCTACTTATAAAATTTAGCTTGAATTACGAATTAAATTCTAAACAACACATAAAAATCATTTTTTTTATAACAAACAACACATAACATTAGCAAGTACACTTCATTACAAAAATGCCCAGAAACAAGCCAATGATAACATAAGCCAAAAACATGGATAAATGGTGAGTAGACATACCATTCCTTTCAATATAAAAGCAAATTCCTTTGCATCATACTTGTTGCTTTTCATTTCTGTGACAAGATGTGTGAAGTTATCAGGGAGATTTACATCATCTTGGACTTCTACAGAGTTCACTTGATTAAGAAGATTGTAAAGTTCACTAACAAGCCTCTGTTTTGATTAAGAAGATTATGTTACAAACTATCTTAAACAAGTTTAGAACAACAAACATCAATCACTCGTAACATTATCAACTAATTTATTCTACTATAGAGTAATATATATATTTTTTAAATTACTGTACTTATTGTAATGTATGTTAAGTTAACAGTAAATTTCAAACAATTACAGCAAGCTAAAACATTAATAAGTAAATATTCTTTTATAAAATATCTTAAGTTAACAACAAACATTATCACTTAGAACAACATCATAACAATCAAAATAAACCTAGTAGCAGTAAATAAAAATTTATAAAAAAACTATAAACCTACCTACAATAAACAAGTTTATTGATAACTTTGACTACAATAAAGTTATATAAGACATTTGGTATCAAAGATTCTGAAATTGATTGCTAATCCTAGCTACAGTAAGTTGGATCAAATACTAACCATAGGTGTAGTAAACAAGTAAATTACTATAGTACATAATTTCACACTAGTGTTTTATAAATCATTATCATATAATATCCAGAATCAGAATTGAACTCAGAATAATAAAAAGAAGCTAAACGAGATATTATTGTCATCTAACCTGATTGTTGAACTATATGATCAAAATCTGAATCAAGATATTCAAAATCAGATGTATCCGAGCTTTGATTTGTGGTAGAATAAATTGTGGTTTTCAGAATGAGAATCAGAATCAGTTTCTTCGGGTTATTCTTGAGAGATTTGAAACAAAATTTTACTGTGAATGAACTTTGAATTGATGAAAGAAAAATGTAATCATGATTTATAATCTGAATCAGAACATTGAAAATCAAAATGAGAATGAATCATAATATATTCTTAGGGTTTTTGAAGAAACATTTCATAATCAAAATCGAATCGATTCAGTGATTTTAGGAAGAGCAATGTGAAGCAGAATCAAAATGAAAGGAGATCAAATCTAGGTAAGTTCTTCGCTCAAGATTGCAGATCAGGAAAAGGATGGTTTTTAGGGTTTGTCGGAGGGTGAGAGTTTTCTGGTGCGTGAAGAATGAATGAATCTGTTTGACTCACGATTGTAGATCAATTAAAAACAAAGTTACGATACTACCCCTCCGTGTCTTTCATTAATCCCAAAGTTTAATAGAATTTCAAAAATGTCATCGTCTCTATATTGTTCTAATTTGATTTAATCCCATCCCTAGATCATGGTAGATGAATGGTCCAGATTTTATCCCCATGTCTCACAAAATATCATTGTCTCACATGAACTCAACCCTATATATATATATATATATATATATATATATATATATATATATATATATATATATATATATATAACTTTAATGGACTAGTTGAGAAGATGATACAGTAAGGACATTTTAATGTTTTTTCTCTCTTTTTTTTTCTCTCTCTCTCTCTCACCAAGAATCAAACTATTTTGTCTCCAAAAAATATTCTTTTTTTTATTTAAATGTGACTTTTAGCCTTTCATTTCCGACAGCTAAGCAGGCTCTCTTGGTCTACCAGTGTGACATTTCATTCCCTTTATTAAGTATCATGTTTAATTTAAATTATTAAAGAGAAAATGATTTGATAGGGTAAGTTACTTTTTGAAATGTACACATTTAGTCCTTATTCTTTTTTTTGTAAATTAAACCCTTATAATTTATTAATATGTACACATTAGGTCCTTTTGACCGGATTCTATAGGTTTTGGTGATGTGGAAGCACATGTGGACTAAAAACAACTGCATAACAATTAATTAGCTTAGTCACTCCTTATAAACAAATGTTAACATCCGAAATCAGGAGGAATCACGGTTTTGTCGTAGATGAAGAAAGAAGATGTCGAGTGGCTCAAGAATCTCCACACGTTCAAGCAATCACAGAGTAGATAAGGAAGTCCTCTGTGATTGTAAACTCCCTACAAGAATTTGTACCTCCAAGACCAAAGACCAAAGATAACCCTGGAAAGAAATTCCGAGTGTGCCCTAACTCATTGGTAAATACCTAAATTGATTTTATTTATCAAATCGCATCAATTTTCTTCTTCTTACCTTCTATGTTGTTGATTTTATTACTACAGAAACCAGGGAAAAAGTGTAAAGTTTGGGAATGGATTGATGAAGAACCTGAGAATATGAAGCCCATTGCAGAAGATACTCTTTCAGATGTTGCAGATTATCTTATACAAGTTTTAGAGGATGTGGCATCTGTTAGAGAAGAAGTGAAACAGTTGAAGGTTATGGTTTGTGTACTGATTCTCCTGGTCATTGTTAAGGTTATGTTTTGGGGTTGAAGATATTCTTCTGGAGGTTTTAGGGGATGTTGATGTAATAGACCTGTTGTATAATTCTTGTTTGTGTAATGGATGTTGATGTACTTTATGTATAAGAGACTTAATCTGAAAAGTGTGTTCCTCTTTCATCCAGGAAGCATACAATCTAAAAGGGCATGTTGGATCCTTTCCTTTACAACACCTAACTAGCAACCTACTCTTGTCATTCTTTTCATACCACAGATCATAACCATTTGCTACAGAATAGCAACTAAGAGAGTATTTAAGTTCAGCAGTAGTAGAGTATTTTATACCTAATCGAGGCTTCATCTCATTCCATTCCTCAGTATGATCATGTCTTGGGTAGATAGGTCGTATTGCATTATGATCTTCTTCAACCAAGTCATCATTCTGATTGGACAAAGTTTGTTGAGGAATTGATCATTGAAGTTTCTTTTGAGAGATATAACTTCATCGTCCTCTACATGTTCAACTTTCAGACCATCTTCTAAAATGGAGTCAACATCATCAATAGAAATCAAATCATCATCTTCAAGGCCTGCTTCTTCCTCCTGAATCCAATCAAACAAAGGTTCATGATGATGATCCACATACACATCCAATCTCTTCTTTTCATTGATATCTTCAAGAAACTCGTGAAAATCGTAGTAATTCTGAATAGCATGTAATCCCTCAGACAACCTCACTTCATGTGGACAGTAAAACACATCTCTGTATCTTCCGTTAGTAAGCTTTTCAAGAAAGGGGATGAAATCAGGGAAGTTCATCTTGTTCACAACCGTGTATGGTACAGAGGCTTTTACTCCATCAAAATACATCAATGGGGTGGGTGTGAACATCCCATTATAGTGTACATCAACGATTGTATCTGCATCTTCTGCCATTTTTTTATGGTGATTGTGAGTCAAGAAATTTGAGGGATTATCGGCTGAGTGAATGGAGGAATGACTAATTAAATGAGCCCTAATTGTCGTCAAAATGTGGTGTAATTTAACAATATCCACGTAAGGTGACATGTGGATGCCACCTGGTTATTTCATTTCAAGAAAATAAAAGAAAATCCGTATATGACCGGTATACCGGGTATAGCCGGTCAAAAGGAATGCATAATCACAAAAAATCTGGTATAAAGGTTTAATTTATAAAAAAAAATAATAATAATAATAAGGACTAAATGTGTACATTTCAAAAAGTATCTTTCTCGATCAAGTCATTTTCCCATTATTAAATCATGTTATCTATATATTTATTTTGTAATATTCCCTGATTAAATTATTATTTTAATTTTGTATGTAATATATATATATATATATATATATATATATATATATATATATATATATATATATATATAATGAAAAGACAATTGGGATAAAAAAAAATACGATATCATTACTTAAAATAAAATGAACTTATCTAATAACAATATTCTTAATGTTTAAAATATAAAGATCTTTTAAAATGTTTAATAAATATAAATGTTTTAGTAATAACATTTTAAACATAAAAATATCAAACTAAATATTTATCGGGGACATTCTGCCGTTCCAATATATATATATATATATATATATATATATATATATATATATATATATATATATATATATATATATATATAAAACACCGAATTTATAATCTCATTTATAATTAGATTATAATTAGTTATTCAAAGACTGATTTGAAGCAGAATAGTTATACCGAAAGAGTACTCCCACTCTTCCTTCTCCAGCACCGCAATCATTCTCCGGTGCAATCTCTATTTTATCAATTCTCTTTCTAGTACCAATTAATCTAAGAAAATCGTCATTGTGAACCACCATTTTCTCATCCAAAATCAAGGCATTTTCTTGCCTAAATCACATTCCTTTAAAACCAAATACAAAATACAAAAAGCATAATCAAAATCCAAAAATTGAACTCTGTATATCTTTCTTAAAATCGCAGTTAAACCCAAAATCGAACTCATATTTCTTGCTTAAATCGCAGAACTTTAAACCTAAATTGAACTCCAGCTTTTTTGCCAAAATCGTCGTAGATCCATCTCCAAATTTCTTGCTTAGTCTGCCATAGATATAAAACCAGGAAAAGCTTGAAACTTAAACCCAAAAACCGAACTTGCAGAAGAAACCTAAAATCCGTGAAAATGTTGGAGGGGAAAACATGAACTCAAGTGGGGGAATGAAGGATGAAGAAACGAAGTAAGAAGGCGGTGGTTTCAGTAGAGAATCGTCGATGATTTCAGTGGATGAGATAAGAAGGTTGTTGATAGCAGTGGAGAACAGGGAGGTTGTCGCCAATGGGCTGAAAAAGGTGAGGGTGAGCCAGTTGTTGTCGGCGTCTGGAATGGTGAAGGTAAGCACAAGGGTCACACTTGCGAGGCTGATATAGATGCAAAACGTGAGCAATCATGCCTTCAAGAATTTCACTACGAATACGTTTTGCACCAACTGAAATAAATTTTCCGGCAATTGTTGTAGCCTCATGAAAATTTCACGGCGTACTAGTCGACGGTGACGTCTGCAAGCACAAACAAAAGGCTTGTGAATGATGGTTGTTGCAGCCTCAAGAAGCGACGAGGAGATCCCAGGTGGAGGTTGTCGCCTCTTCTTCTTTGACCCAATTATGGAGAGACCGGTGATTTTCAATTGAAAGGAAAATTTGCGTTTGAATAAATAATTACAAGGGCATAACTGTCATTTTATCTTAAAAATCAGTGGCTGTATAAAAAAATGCCGTGGATTTATCACCTCCCTTTTGTATAACATTTTCCAAGTTCTTCGGGTGGTTTATCTTAATTTTGGGTCGAATTATGCACCTTTTTTTTTTTGGTTTTTAGACCATTACCTTATGGATGACTATCAAGATAAAACGAACAAGAAATGCATGACTTATAGAGGAAGCGTGCTTGTTTAAAATGAGATTCAGCTACCAAAACTCAGCAAATTGAGAAGCCCAAAACAAACAAAAAAAAGGATCCCACAATCAGTTAAAACGGTTTAAAATGAGATTCAGCTACCAAAACTCAGCAAATTGAGAAGCCCAAAACAAACAAAAAAAAGGATCCCACAATCAGTTAAAACGGCAGCCCACTTTGTGGTTAAAATTTGCCCATTATAGGCTTATAGCTGCCATTTTAAGGAGCAAAATAGCAGAAAAAATCAGCAAGAAAAACTGCTAAAAATCAGCAGAAAAAGGTGATAGAATTTATCAGCTCAACTGCATGTTTACTAGTCCTTGGAAATTGTTACCATTCCATATTATTTATTTATTTTTTGACATTATATTAAATAAAAAACATAATTATTAAACATAAATAAATATTTTATAAATAAAAAAAGAACATTAACTTAAATAAAAATAATATTTTTAAAATTCAACAAACATTTTACTAAATAAAAAAATAACATTAATAAAACATTGAAATTAAAAAAAAATACTACTCGTCGTCATCGTTGTCTTCGACATCGGCATCGTTCTCATCGTCTGCATCCTCATCCTCCTCGTTGTCATTGTCATTGTGTTGTTCGAATTGTCGTTGTCATATGTGATCAGTCAAATCTTGACATAGATTGTGATGTGTTTCATTGTTTTGTATTTCCAAAAGTCTTGTAAAGTATGTTGGGTTGTCGACTTGTATTACTGTAGGTGGATTGAGTACATCATTCGGAGTATATGTATAAATAGCCCTACCGTCTTCTTCTATTATCATGTTATGTAAAATAACACACGCTTTCATCATCTTCATCAATTTTGTGCTATCCCATGCTCATATTGGATGTTTGATTATGTGTCACTTTTGTTTAAGGACTCCAAACCCCCGCTCCACATCCTTCCTTGCAGATTCCTGTGCTAACTTGATGAATTTTCGTTTTTTATCGGCCAGATTTGAGTATGATTTGACAAATGTAGCGTACTCTGGATAACAGTCGGCACACCATGATTACCTCGCGTACTCCAAGCACATTCAGGTCGTTTTTTGATCCCCGACATACCAAAATATACATGCCAAAACCATAGGTCTTGTGAAACAACTACTTCTAGTATAACAGTCGGCACTCCATGATCACCTCGTGTGAATTGACCTCGCCATGCATTGGGACAATTTTCCCACACTCATTGTGTACAATCAAGGCTACCAAGCATTCCTGAAAATCCATGTTTAGCTTCATGTGCAGCATACAACTGTTTGACATCACTTCTAGTTGGATTTCGCAAGTATATGTCACTGTAAAGCTCTATAACATACTCACAAAAAGATATGAACATTCACGACCCGTCCTGCAGATATTTTCAAATATTCATCTGAAGCGTGTAACGTCCCAAAAATCATGACCAAAAATTTCATTTTAAACCATTAAATAAAACCATAGTTATCAAACACTTCCATCAAAACATGAGTCAAATTATTTCAAAACATTACTATCAGAGTTTCCAAATCAAAACATCAGAGTAAACATCCCAGGCTAAAACATCATGGTGTGTGCAATGCAGTCATCCTAAGCTTTTCTCTCTGCAACTGAAAGTACCTGAAACCAAAACTGAAAATTGTAAGCATGAAGCTTAGTGAGTTCCCCAACCTACCACATACCATACACATAATCACATACGTTGGGCCCCCGCCCCTACATCGGTCCCCGCCCGACATCAGACTGTGTCCGGCATCAAGCCCCGTCTGGCATCGAGCCCGACTCGGTATACAACTCTGTTTCTTCCAGGCCCCGCCTGTCTCTGGGCCTCGTCCGCTATGCACATACAAACAATATCACATAATCATACTTGCACATAAAGAATCATAAAAAGTACTATATACTCCAGTCCTAAGGCCTCGCCTATCATGGGCCCCGCCCCTACTCTGCTACTGATGAGATATGGAACCCCGCCCACACTCGGCTAGTGATGAGATACGGGACCCCGCCCACACTCACCTCCCTACCAGGCACATACGAGTATCATAACGATAACAAGTATAACTATAAATGCATACCTTCCTCGGGCAC